TCAACAAACAAACACGTATCTCACACATTATGATAAAAAGGAATCAAGAGACTTTCCTCAATTTTAGAAATGCTTTCTGTTTCCTGAAACTACAGTGATCAAAATATGCCGATTATTATAGACTTGCATTGGCTTTATTTGATATATTTCTTTTATGGTCTGTTAGAAGATGGAGAAAGAGTGAGTGAGTGAATATGGTTTTACGCCGCTTTTAGCAATATTCCAGCAATATCAAGACAGGGGGCGCCAGAAATGGGCTTCACACGTTGTACACAGGTGGGGAATCGAACCCGGGTCTTTGGCGTGACGAGCCAATGCTTTAACCACAAGGCTACCCCACCGGCCTGACGGAGGAAGAAAGAAGGAAAGACGGAGTAAATAAGCGAACTTTTCACACTTGTCAAGTGAAAACAAATCATTCTAGCGATAAGAATTTTAATGACAGTTTTCTTGATTAATAATCGTAATAGTTTGTATTTCTGTTGCTCGTGTCGAGGATTATAGTACCATTTCATACTACAAAATATGTAAATTTTATATATATACCCGTGAAGAATTGGTCTTTGTAAGAGGCGACTAACGGGATCGGGTGGTCAGGCTCGCTGACTTGGTTGACACATGTCATCGTATCCCATTTGCGTGGGGCGATGTTCATGATGTTGATCACTGGATTGTCTGGTCCAGACAAACCGCCGCCATATAGCTGAAATATTGCTGAGTGCGGCGTTAAACCACAAACCAACCAAAAACATATCTGTAGCGAATTGTGAAATTAACATCACATTCATGCTGTGACACACATCGGCATTTCCCACAATACATTTTAGTGCAATGAGTCAACCTATTTAAAAGACACACGGATTTGTGACAATGGCCTCTTCACACACATTTTGACGACCGATATTCCCACACGCTATATTTAACACCTTCCGTATCAACAAAATCACAGCCTATTTCTCCCAGAAATGTCAAACCCCATTGCTGATCACATATAATTACAATCGTGGTAGTGTGATCTCACAAACTCAGTCACCCATGAAAATGAAATCCGACAACACCTGAAGGAAATGTGAAACACTCACATACTTTCTATTTATCTTCCTGTCTGTCTGCCTTGCGGGTCTTGGAAGCAGGCCCCCGAACACCGGTAATAAACGTCTGTACACCTCTCAATAATGGACCCGTCCATTGTTCGTTAGACATGCCTGTCCTCTTGTGCCGATTCCAGTCTATATATAGAACTGTATACACACCAAAAAAGAAATAAGCGAACGACTTAATGGACAACAACTTCTTGTTTATTGCATAGAGCGACGTTCTGTTGTAGGTTTTAGGGTGGTTACTGTGTAAGAATCTACACGAAAACGTCGCTCTATGCAATAAAAGAGAAGTTGTTATCCATAAGGTCGAATGCTTCGTTATTGACTTGTAGAACGCCGATCAAACAGCTGAAAGAGAAATTGGCTACGGTTATTCTTTCGTCACAGTATTTTATTATTCAAATTAATCATATCAAATATCCGTATACATACATGTATATTTGTATCAAGGTTTGTTTGTTCGTGGTTGTCAGTGAGAATGCTTTACACTGGTACGTGCAAGAACGCATACGATCATCTGTGTGTTTTCATCCCCCCAGTGAGTGACTTAATCTCTTTCTCTTCTAATGAATGACTTATTATATATCTCTCTCTTTCTCCCTCCCCACATGGGTACAATGAATGAAGACCAATTCCGGTGTACCCCGCCGTGCTGTTGCTGGAATATTGCTAAAAGCGGCGTAAAACAAAACTCACTCAATCCCTCTCTCTCTTCCAGTGAATGACCTAATCTTTCTCTGTCCCTCTCACTGTCTCTTTCTCTCTCTCTGTGTCTCTCTCCATACATGTGTACTTGTATCATGGTTTGTTCGAGGTTGTGTTTACACTGATACGTTCACCAACTCTCTCTCTCTCTCTCTCTCTCTCTCTCTCTCTCTCTCCCTCTCTCTCTCTCTCTCTCTGCTGTTTGACTGTCATCATGACATCGATATATTTCGTCCTTGTCGTTTTGAGGTCTCGTGATATCAACATGAATCAACTATTTCTGACGGAACAGGAACACGGAAATATATCGCATGTTGGAAGTTGGTCGGTGTCACGGGTTCAACGTTATCAAATACATTCCTCCTTCACACTAACACGATAAAAACAACTCATTTAAAGTTTTAACACGATGAAAACAACTCATTTAAGTTTTAAATAGTAATAGTTCAGAAATACAACGTAGGATAGGACACAACCAAAGTACCATTTTGTCACCAAACGCCAATGATCATCAGGCTCGTGGCAAGGTTCCTGCTACATGAAGACGGTTTTAAAAACACAACCGAGTCGGTGTCGGCCATGTCATTGGCTGATGTCATAAACAGCGATCTACGTAATTGGGATACCATGACATGCGTCAAAAAGGTCTGTCTCACAGTCCCTGAACCACATATTTCCTACAGCCTAGCCCTCCTTGCATTGCTAAAGCCTTAAATAAAGCAAGTCTAGATTTCCCCATGTTCTGAATCCCTGGTCTCCCTGGGGCACCTTTTCAATTTAAATGGGTATATTTGTTACAATCAAAATTATATATATTCAGAGACTAAGCGTTAGTCTATGTTTCAAACAATGCCTATAGCTTCTACCGTGGGTGGAGACCACTTTGGTAGACTAACAACTAGTCTCTGAAATGAAAATATATTACAGAGAAAAAGCTCATAATAAAAAAAAGCTGTGGAAATCTAGACTCGCCACATTTTCTAGACTTGCGTGGGCTTTCTTGGATATATTTGCTTCAGGGTCTATATGACAAACTACCACTTTGGGTCTCGACACAAATGCTTGTTTTCGTCTCCAGCTTATGTCCAGTATAGGTTCTACATTTCCATTCTCTGTGTTGGACATTGGGGTAGCCAAGTGGTTAAGCGTCCGCTCGTCACGTCGAAAACCCGGAATCGATTCCACACAAGGGCACAATGTGTGAAGCATATTTCTGGTGTCTCTTGCTTTGGCATTGCTGGAATATTGCTTAAAGAAGCGAACAGCATACTGCGCTCACTCACTCACTCTGCGTAATTCGTTGAGTCATCACCGCCTGGTCTATTTACATACAACGAGCAAAGTGGGTTTTCAATGATTTCAACAAAAGGGACTGCATATTGTGCTAGCATAGGCGGATTTAAAAGCAGTCGAAAACATGACAGTTGCCACTGGGTATTAGCTTTGGAGACAGCTGTGCATCTACAACCAGATGATATATATCGACCATCCTATTTAGCTTATGCAGCGATTTTGATAAGTAAGGAAGCTATGGGAAAACTGCTTACTTTCAATTACTATACATATTTGGGGCGGTGGGGTAGCCTAGAGGTTAAAGCGTTCGCTCGTCACGCCGAAGACCCGGGTTCGATTCCCCACATGGGTAGAATGTGTGAAGCCCATTTCTGGTGTCCCCCGTCGTGATGTTGCGGGAATATTGCGAAAAGTGGCGTAAAATCATACTCACTCACTCACTCAGATATCCTGTCCAACTATCTGCTGTTTTAAAATGTATTAAATATTGGTTAAATCTTATTAACATGCCTGGATGCCGTTTGCCTCGAAAATGTTACAATATGATGCGTATGTATGATGAGCAAGGCTATGAGAACTGGGTTACCAAGGTTAGAAATATCATATTTAAATTAGGTTTTGGTGATGTTTGGGTATCACACACTTACGGAGATAAAAACGTTTTTGCTAAAATGTTTTTTCAACGACTGAAAGATAATTTTCGGCAAGTTTGCCATAGTGATTTATCTGAGAGCCCCAAATTGTTTACGTATTGTAATTTTAAATTAACGATTTCTTGTGAAACATACTTAACTCATATTACTGTATCCAAATATAGATCTTGTTTATCACGATTTAGGTTAAGTTCCCATAGTTTAGAAATTGAAAGAGGACGTTACTATAACATTCCCCGGGAACAAAGAACATGCAAAATGTGTAACTTAAACGTAATTGAAAATGAATATCACTTCTTACTTATCTGTCCAGCCTACATTGAATTAAGACGTAAATATCTTTTGTCGCAATTCTATGTTTTCCCCAATATACTAAAATTCAATTCGTTGTTATCATCCAAAAATGAAGACATTTCCTTGAATACTGCTAAATATCTGTTTTATGCATTCGAAAAAAGGAAATCAATTTTGTCATATTAAGATTGTATATATTATACATGCTTTCATTGTTAACATTTTATTTCAAGTCTGCACCGATGAGGTGTTTTTGTACTCATAGGCCCGTGGCCTCATAGTATCAGAAATAAAGATTTGACATATATCGACCATCCTATTTAGCTTATGCAGCGATTTTGATAAGTAAGAAAGCTATGGGAAAACTGCTTACTTTCAATTACTATATATATTTGGGGCGGTGGGGTAGCCTAGAGGTTAAAGCGTTCGCTCGTCACGCCGAAGACCCGGGTTCGATTCCCCACATGGGTAGAATGTGTGAAGCCCATTTCTGGTGTCCCCCGTCGTGATGTTGCGGGAATATTGCTAAAAGTGGCGTAAAACCATACTCACTCACTCACTCAATTACTATTTAATACGGCACGCGCAGTTTTCAGCCATCGCGATATGTCAAACGTCGGGTTTGGGTTGTCAAACATGATTATGTAAGAAAGTTATGTTCGATAAGAATTTCTTTCTTTGAAGATTGAACTTCACCCTTATGTGATAAGAAATTCCGGAGATATAAGCTGGCTTAAGATTAAAGAGTCACCACACAGTGCGTTTAGCGGTAAATAACAAGCCAGAACCTCTTCTGCGATAAATACCATCTTAACCCAAGCTGAAGTGATAGCTGGAGGCGAGAAATTCTCTTGTAATTCGTTGCAAATGCGCTGTGTTCACGAGAGCCGCTATTTACAGCGAGCACCTGCAACCCGTCGCCCCCACGTTGTAATAGACTCGTCCAAACTAAGGTAGGTTCGCTGTTCCCGTTTACGATCATTTGTGTATGTGAGTCGATCCACAAGTTGTACCGATCGTGTCTCCGTCGTAGAAACGTGGAAGTGGTAATCTGCAATTTACATAAATAACGTGCCGTGGGATTCAGGAAAGTTTGGATTATATCTGAAAGACATTCGGAATAGACACATCGTTGTCTCATCTGTCACGGAGTTTGAATTGTCGCCTCGACTTTCACAGGTAAGTGTCGCCAGCTTGCCGTATAGGTAGACGCGACCTTCTGTTGAGTGAAATCTACCTGTGTCGATTTCACGAAATACACAATCGACAATTGTGACTTTTTGAGAGTTTGTTTTAGTTTTATGTTTCATGACGTTAATGTTACCTGTGACAATCTCTGATTAAGTTTTTGAATACTTTGTGAAGCTCTTCTAATATTATTTGACATTGTGACATAAATAACTTGACACACATTCCTCGTAATACCTGCTATCATCACATACAAGGGAGGATGGTCGTCACATTAGGTATTCATGTCATGGTTTCCTAAAACACTGCCTTTGTCAAACAATCAGGCCACCGCCAAACACTATAATTGTTTAAACCGGAATATTTTAATAATTCATGAAAACCCCAATCGTTACTACAGGGGACTTTTTAGTACAGTTGGTTTAACTGGTAATCATATATGTAAACAAAATCTAAGTGAGCTTAATACTTTTCATGTAATTCGAGAAACAAATTTCAAACCTCTAGAGTTTTCTTTTAAGCACGTTTGATGAATATTCAGGAATTATTTTTGAACTTTAAACTATCACTCCGTGGGCAGAATAAAAAGGTCTATGCTATTGACAGCATGTGAGCGTCACAAGGAGCTCATGAAGTTGCCCAACCCAGAACTATAATGTTTATTTATAACATGCCTGGCTGCACATTTAACAATGTCGTCCAACGACTTGGGCATGTTGGAACAGTCTTCTCAGTGTACTAGCTTATTTTATGTAATGCAATTTGAAGAATGAATTGATAAATACTATCATTATGGATTAGATGATAGTTTTGTAAATTAATATAATTCTGCTATCGAGAGACAATTTTTTAATGGATACAGATGGTTAATACATCAAGATGCATACAACCAGATCACAGTGTGACTTGTTGCAGAAAATATTGATATTAGAAATCAATGCTTTTTCAAGATGTCATTGAAAACAAAAATAAATATCATATGACATGGGATAAAATCTTCTCAAATCTTGAATTATGATATTAATCTGAGGTGATCTTTTCATTATACATGTACAATGTAGTATGATGGCAGTGTTGAAATACACAAGTTAGACATTAGACAATACTTTATTACCTTAAAAGGAATTCGTTCCTCCTTGTGATAAGGTGTATAAATGGAGAAAAAATATATCTATATCAGGCATTGTAGAGTGTTCAAGAAAAACATATGAATACAAGAAAGAAAAACATAGATATAGTCCGTTTGTCCATTACTTCAGTAGGTGTAAAGTTAATAAGGGAATCATTATATAAGAGGCCACTTTCAATCAGTGATTTAGAAACATGGGTTTTATGGTGTACATTCTTAAATAAGAATGTAAATGTTTAAATCATTATATAAGAGGCCACTTTCAATCAGTGATTTAGAAACATGGGTTTTATGGTGTACATTCTTAAATAAGAATGTAAATGTTTAAATGAGAATTTAACCCTAGGATTGCTCTCCTGCCTTGAAAAAAAGCATTTCTAGGTTAGGGGTTGTGTTTTACATCTACTGCTGTTTCTGAAACACAATTGCTCTAGAAATATGTTGGTGTTATCAAAATGAATAAAGAATGGCAGTATTAAAGAACTTGTCAGGAAAATTGTGTATGCCATTAATGTATTTAAACATACAATGAAAAGCTTGTTGAAGTGAAAAATTAAAACTTATCAAGAACTTATAACAATATTAGAAATTGGAATATTTACAGTATTTCACATGATATTTTAAAGTACATGAATTCTTGGTAGTAAACACTTAATACTACACTTGTAATAGGATCTTTAATCATCACAGATATGTTGTGTACCAGAGGCAGCCAATGATGACAAAACCCTCCTACACACTTGGAGCATTAACTATCTAAAGATTTAACTGATTTTATTCAACGAAGGCTCCAGTCTGTCCAATTACATTTAAAATCTATACAAAAGCAGAGATAACATCCAACTTTATATTCCTGCGAGGTCGTGAAGCATGTTAATTGCAAAATTACACTGAAATTAACAAATCAGTGTTACTGACAGGTCGATGTCTAAATTCTACAAACCAATAAAATCAGAACAATATGGCCTCTAACGAGAGAGGCCAGTTCACAATCCCTGCCAGGAGAAATGCCTCAGGGCCATGTGTCTACCAACACTTGTTAATAGCACAACTGACAATGATTGCGAGTAATTACGACCCCTCCAATTTCCTGTCATTATCAATACAGGGATGCAAATCTCTGCAAGACACATCAAACAGTACCTGTCACTTACACCTGTCCAGTTACCTGTAATTAGCATCGGGATTGTTCACACCTGTAGACAGACTGGCCACTGGTCAAGCTTCTGTTCACCTGTACAGAGTAATTAAATCATGTATATTACATAACAGGGCTGCGAGTGTACATAGTCAGGTGACTGCTTGCTGGAATGGGGCTGTTTATTTCAACACCTGCTACTGTGGGAGGCTGTTGTAGGTGGCATTATGTAATAGTTGTTCAAGCAGGAATAAACTGTCTCCTTGTAGTTGTTGACACAGTAGGAGTGTGTGAAAAGGTGTAGTGGGTTTATTTGAGGTAAACATTTACATATTCTACTTCAGGACTTCTTGATAAGGACTAAGTGCACCTTGAACTCCATAAGCATGCAAAGTGTATCAAATTTTGCTAGTATCAAGGAAAGTAACATGGTATGTTCTGTTTGATCGACATTTTAGAAGTTAATGAATAATAAGAAAAGTGTGATACTTTATTATATTATGATGTGATGTTTCGGTTGTTGTTCTTGTACCATTGTCAAGCAAGAATCATTATAATATAATAAACAAGTTGTCATCCATTAAGTATTATACTTTTTCCTGACATTACATGTTTAATTTTTTAAAGAATTAAATCCTCAGTAATACCTTTTGTTCCACACTAGAAGATGCAGAGATTCTGTTGACTCTTTGTCTTTTCACAAGGATTGTTTTAAAAACTAATTAGATAAAGGGCTATGTAGTTTTTAATTACTACCTCAGTATAATTTAATAACTTGTAATAAGTAGGATTCACATGAATGTCTTGGCATATCAATATTTTTTAGTCTTGGCATATCAGTGCTTTTTAGTAGGTTAAATTATCAGATTCCATTCTTATCTTTTAAATTGGATTCTGAAGGAACTGTCTTTTTATTTAATTTTGAAACCCCATGAGTATGTTTGAATTGAGTTTAGAAGCCAATTTGTTACAACTTCATCACAAGTTCATTCCTGCAGCTCTTTGTCCCCACATCAAATTTAGAATCATGTTTAATATTTGCAGGATCCCATTCTGCCATTAGAATAAATTGTTTTCTATGCAAATGGTTAAACAGGTTTCGAATGACTATTTGGTTGCTCTGAGCACTTCTCCGGGGGAGGGAGGGGGAGAGACAATAAATGGCAACAAACTGTAGTTTGGGGACCATTCAGGCCTCTACCTATGTAAATGGAGACGGAGTCACGACCTTAGCCGCCCTTGGAAAATGTCATCACTGACTGGGAATTCTGGGGGATGGAGCGTGCACTAATTCTGTTGGCCATTCAAACCTTTAGCCCTCTAAACACCAAGGGTGAAAAAATATTGAGCTATTGTTTACCTGGTGATCAGAATCGTGAAAGAATGCTTTAGGCCTTGGAAACTGTCGTTGAAAGACTGAGGGCTTTGTTGTTCACCTGCGTTTTTCAACTGGTGCACTGGCTTTGTGCATTTAAAGATGCATAGATAAAGCAGATTTAGTAGGCTGGGGAAGTACTTACTTGATGCATTATGTAAGGGTTTATTGGTTTGTCGTGAAAGATCGAGGTTAATGCTTTGTTTAAGTTTGAGAGGGGTTTTAATGTTGGGAAAGCTATCACACAGGTTCATTTGTGTGGTGGGGTTAACAGGTTGTAGATTGCGAGTAATCTTTTATGAATCTGAATGTCAATATGTCCTTGCATGCAATATTATTATTATATCAATCTGCTTTATCTGGACTAAACATTTACAGTGGTCTGGATTAACAGGTGTCATGGACATATTCAGGTGTTGTACTCAATGTCCCGCGGAATCAGTGGACTAAAGTGTATTTCTTCATCTAAGTTGTACATATATTCCCTAAATACATGTATTTCAGAAATATAGAATTTTATAAATATATATGTCGCCCCAATGCACAGGAGTAAATGAAGCAATAATTGAATTATCAATAATTAAATTTAATCAATATCTTAGTTTGCAGTATTTACTATTAAAATAATATAGGCTATTTAAATCATTAAAAAAGATATATGATTATGAATGTAAATATTGGAAAAAATGAATAAAACAAAGTCAAAATGAAAAACATTAAAGGTCTGTAAAGTGACAGTTTGATATTAACAAATTGTGACGAATTATTTTCACAGCAGGACTTCTGACAGGTTCTTGCTCATGGTGATTTATTTCAAAGTTTACTAAATTGATGAATAATTTTGTGATACATTGACCTCGAGCACCAAAATGGAGTATATTAAATTGGTTAAGTGCCAGTTGGTATGTTTGATCTATAATACACACTGTGTCCTTTCCGACATAGACCTCAGTCTATTTCCGGCCTCTATTTCACTTCACCAAGGCATCTGTTACACATATCGACATCAGTGATCGACAGGCATGAAATTGATTTGCATCAATTCCACTTTTCCTCATGAGTTGCTTAAGATGTGATGACATTTAAGGAGAGGTGAGGTACTGTTATTCTCTTTGTAATACGATATTTTGCTGGAGGTTTTTCGCAAAGCATTCGTGACATTTGAACACATGCATCATAAAGAGCATCGTGTCGCATTCAAAGAGTTGCCAACTGACATGGGGTTTGTTTGAATGTAATATATAGTGTTCCTTTTATGTGAAATCAATAATCTCAAAGGTAAATTCATTTTAACATCCTTTGTAAAATTACTGATGTAACTATTATGATAATATAATGCCTACTTAACA